TTGTTCACTTCCTCCCAAATCACTGACAATTTCCTGATATCAGGAAAGACTAAGTGCAAGATAGCCTTCCAAAAATACTTCAACCAGTTTCAGTCCATGTTAATACTCCAGTCAACTTGCCTCATATCTAATACGACCTCTTAGATAGGAGTCATATTTTATGTACAATACCACAACATCTAGAAATGTTTGCATTTCTACAAGTATGTTCTACAAATATCTTGTATGCATTTCTAGTCTGGGTGGTATTACTCTGCTTACAGTGACACCAACTTCAAGTAATATCTGTTAGATGTTATCATCACTATGTACTAAGAATCTGGAACAAACCAGCAAATACCTTAATCTAAAATTCAGCATTCTGGGAGCCACTGAGGTAGCGTAGATACTTAGTTGCTCAGTCATGTCCAACTCTTTGTGACCCCATGGGCTATAGCCCACCAGGCTCCTCTGTCCATGAAATTCTCCAGGCAAGAATACTGGAGTGGGTAACTATTCCCTTCTCCAGGGGTTCTTCCTGACACAGGGATCAAACCCAGGTCTCCTGCATTGCAGGAAGATTCTTTACCATCTGAGCCATCATAGGTAGACCCATTGTAAAAAGTTTTCAGTCTGAAAACATTGTGGCCAATCAGCCCCAGTTCCAACTAACAGAAACAATGGGCAAAGCAGTGGGAAACTAAGATTTTGTGACCTTCCTAGGGGCCTTGGGAAGTTTATACTACTGAGAAATCTACAACATAAATTTGGAAAAGTAGAAGATCCAGCCAACTATTTTTGCATTACCCCATATATCCTTCACAGTCCATTCAAAGCATTAAATGTGGTCTTTTGGCAATTCCTAATTTATGGCCTGGTTCTAGAAGAAGCTGTCAGGGCCCTTCCTATCTATTTACCACAAAAAACCATATGGAGTATAGTATTAACTGAGTGGATGAAGAGCCTCTGTTATAACATCTGCCAAAAAAATGATGAAATTTTCTCCCTTGTCACAGTGGAGTTTACTTATAAAGAGTTCACTGCATCACACTATCCAGAACATCCCCTTTCACAGTAGCTGTGGCATGATTCTTACCTGACCGTCACCACCCTTCACCTCGGGTGGCTTCCAAAACTTGGCAAAGCTATGGGTTACCAAAAATATCTTCCAGCTTGCCAAATACTGATCTGAGGAGTAGGCCAACTAGTGCTTGATTCAAGAGGAAGGCATCCAAGTGGGTGATACTGTCTAATATACCTCCAAGCACACGGTAACCCATACAGGAAACTGGGTGCCTACTACTCAGAAACTGACATAACAGTCATCTGGTAATAATCATATGGCTATACCTTAAAGAACAATCAGCCTGAGGCCTCAGGACCAGAGAAAGAGCTCCCACTGTCACCTGCACCTAAATCAGTACTTACTTGCAGTCCAGGTCCCATTGCCCACTAGGAATATGCTCTTGCTCTTTCCGGGTCTGCACTTATTTGGCTATGGACATTCTGCCACCCTTAGTGGCATAATTTGGAAAGTCAAATTACGCCACTTAGTCAAAGTCAAACAACCAAACTCAAATGACACTGTTTCTAGGAAATGTAACCTGTGATGAAGTATAAAGCCAACCCCTGGTTCAGTCCAGGGTTCCACCTGTCCCAGCCTTCAACTGTCAATGGAGGGGACTCAAACTTTGCCCCACTCTGGTGGTGTCACTGTCACAGAGAATGTTAAAGATGTCCATGGAAGGGCAAGAGGGAGGGTGGAGGGACAGAGATGATGAACGTGTGGGGCCAAGCAGAATAAAGGGGAAAGCAGGAACTGCGGAAGAACTACAGAACAGCAGGCATCCCCACCACCCACCCAAGATGAGTCAGCAATCTCAACAATTTCCAGAGAGAATGGCAAACTTTGATCCAGTTCACAAGCTCAGGGTTCTGAGATGCAAGCCAAATCTAGCCTATTTAAGCAGAACATGAATTTTTTTTTTAAAGATAGTGGTGACATGGAATATTACTCAGCCATTAAAAAGAATTCATTTGAATCAGTTCTAATGAGATGGATGAAACTGGAGCCCATTATACAGAGCGAAGTAAGCCAGAAAGATAAAGACCATTACAGTATACTAACACATATATATGGAATTTAGAAAGATGGTACCGATAACCCTATATGCAAAACAGAAAAAGAGACTCAGATGTATAGAACAGACTTGTGGACTCTGGGAGAAGGCGAGGGTGGGATGTTTCAAGAGAACAGCATCAAAACATGTATATTATCTAGGGTGAAACAGATCACCAGCCCAGGCTGGGTGCATGAGACAAGTGCTCGGGCCTGGTACACTGGGAAGACCCAGAGGGATCGGGTGGAGAGGGAGGTGGGAGGGGGGACCGGGATGGGGAATACATGTAAATCCATGGCTAATTCATTTCAATGTATGACAAAAACCACTGCAATGATGTAAAGTAATAAGCCTCCAACTAATAAAAATAAATGGAAAAATAAAAAAATAAAGATAGTGGTGAGATTATACCAAACTTAAAAGCTTCCATATGGCAAAAGAAACAAATTGAAAAGACAACCTACAGTATGGGAGAAAATACTTGCAAACCATATATATATGATAAAGGGTTAATACCCAAAACATATAATGAATTCCTATAACTCAACAGCAAAAAAGAAAGAAAATCCAATTAAATGGGCAGAGGATCTGAATAGACCTCTCCAAAGAAGACACACAAGTGGCCAACAGGTATATTAAAAGATGCTTAACATCTAATCATCAGGGAAATGCAGATTAAAACCCCAACGATGTATATCACCTCACACCTCTCAAGGTGGGTATCATGTTTTTAAAAATCCACAAAAATTAACAGCATTGGTGAGAAGTCAAGGGAACCCATGTGCATTGTGGTGGGTAAGCAAATGGGTACAGCCACTGTAGAAAACAGTAGGGCAATTTCTCAAGAAATTAAAATAGAACTACCATTTGATCCAGCAGTCTCACTTCTGGTATATATATCCCCAAAGAAATTGAAATCATGATCTCAAAGGGATATCTGCACTCTCATATTTGTTGCAGCATTATGCACACTAGCCAAGACATGGAAGTAACAGAAATGTCCATCAGGGCTTGGGTGGATTTTTTAAATGTGGTAAATGCATACAATGGAATATTACTTGGCCTTAAAAAAAAAAAAACTAGGGAAATCCTGGCATTTGCAACAACATGGATGAACCTGGAAGATATGCCAAGTGAAATAAGCCAGAGAGAGGACACATATTACATGATACCACTTATATGAGGAATCTAAAATAATTAAACTCAAAAGAAGCAAAGAATACAACAGTGTTTTCCAGAGACTCAGGAGAGGAAAAAACAGGAGGGCAGTAATCAAAGGGTAAAAAGTTTCAGTTATGCAAGATGAATAAATCCTGAAGATCTACTGTATAGCATAGTATAGTTAATACTATACTATATACTTAAAACTCTGCAAAGAGACTAGAGTTTATGGTAGATGTTCTTGTTACAAAATAATAATAAAGAAGGTGAGAGGAAGTTTTTGGAGGAGATGGATATGTTTGTAGCATAGATTTTGGTGATGGTTTCACAGGTGTATACTTATCTCCAAATTCATTAACTTGTATAAATTATATATACGACTTTTTGTGTGTGTGTTACACAATGAAGTAATTTTTTATTTAAAAAAAATAATTACTCAGGTGTGTCAGGTCTTAGCTGCTATACGTGAGATCTTTCACTGCGGCACACCGACCCTCTAGTTGTGGTGCACAGGCTCATCTGCTCTGCGGCGTGTGGGACTTAGTTCCCTGACCAGGGGTCAAACCCAAGCCCCCTGCATTGCAAGGCAAATTCTTAACCACTAGACCCCCAGGCAAGTCCTTGAAGTAGTTGTTCAAAAAATATTAAGAGGCACATAAAAACTGTAGAAGGGACAGAGAACCAAATTTGGCAGACAATAACCAGAAATAAGGTTCACAATCACGCCATAGACCTGGCTGTGCAGAGACACCAGTGCATTCAGTGCTGTGGGCACTGCCGGCCCCGAGGACACTGGGCCCCAGATAATGCTGCTGGAGACAAGAGGCAGCTTCACTGCCCCAACCTCCATCAACAGAAAAAGACTTCACATGATCCCAGCTTCTTTGCAACCCCAATCTTTGATTCAAAATCTGAAGAAGACACGTTGATTGGCCTAGCCAAACCTCTTGGCCCTTGGCCTTGCTACAAGAGAGGCTGGGTATCTTAGTCCATGCAGGCTGCTGTAACAAAATACCGTAGACTGGGTGGCTTATAAACAACAGAGATTTATTTCTCACAGTTCTAGAGGCTGGCAGTCCAGGATTAGGAAGCCAGGTGAGGGCTCTCTTCCAGGTTGCAGACTTCCTGTTGTTCCCTCACGTGGCAGAAGGGGCCAGGAAGCTCTCTCAGGCCTCTTTTTATAAGGGCGCTTATTCCATTCATGAGGGCTCTGTCTCATGAATCACACCCCAAGAGCCCCATCTCCAAATGCTATTACCTTGGGCATTAGGTTTTCAACATGTGAATTTGGGGGGCGGAGAAGTGGAGGGAATTCAAACATTCAGACCAAAGCACTGGGTAAGGAAAATCTCATCTTTCCAGTCACTCTAAGATACAGATTTTGCATCTCAGAAGATTCCTAAACCCCCATGAGAATGCTAAGACTACACTATCCCACTCTATACTGCCTTTCCAGCTCCTGGCCCTGTCCCTCTCCACTTGACCCAGCACCAGTCCAGCTCTAAATCAATAGCAAGCTGAGACCTCTCTAATGCTTCTAACACACTTGATACCTGCTGCCCCAAATGCTCTTCCTGATACTACTGTGTCCCATGAACCCCTTCTTACCCTGCAACACTTGGCTTGTGAGGGGCTTGGAGGGATCCCTGCCCTGTGCTGGGTTAGCATGGAGACCAGAGACTGAGAAAGTCGAATAACCCCATTTGCTAGGTACTCAGAACAAGTCTGCTCTCATTTCAGACCAGAAGGATCCAGTGCCCACTAGGCTTCCCCCTATTATCTCAGAAGATGGGAATTACTCCGTGCACCAAAATAGCCACACAAAGTACCATGAAGCTGTTCGGAAGGTATCGTTAAAGACATGTAAGTATCATGGATTTGTCACCATTCTAGGGGCAGAAAAGGTGTTTGTGAGTTGCTAAAGTGGCTGGGATGTGGTGGGGCGCTGTTTTAGAGCAGGCAGCAAGGTCAAAAAGAGCCAAGAAGAGACTGAGAAGAGGGAGAAAGTAGGCTCCAATAGTGAGGTAAGCAAGATAAGATAAAAATTGAATCAGAATTGACAGCAGAAGATCTACCTGTGAGTACTTTCTCTTTCAAGTGTCTCACCATGGATAAGTCACTTATCCTTTTTTAACTTGTTTCTTCATTCATTTAGGGAAAAAAAAAAAAAGGCAGAAAATGCAGACTCCGCCAACCTTACAGGATTGTTATGAGGATCAAAACTTTGGAATTTGAACTGAGTTTCAACTCAACAAGCTGTGTGACCTTGGGCAAAATCCTTTGATCACTTAACCTCTCTGGACCATCTGAAAACTGGAATAACAATCTAGTGTTTTTTGTGAAAGAGAAACTTACATTTTAAAAAGTTCCTAGGACAAGCCACTGATATAGGCAGATACTTGCAGGAATCTCCAGGGAATTCTGCTATGTAAAGAAAGCCAATCCCCAGAAGATCCTGTACTGTATGATGCCATTTATACAACATTCTTAAACTGACAAAATTACAGAACTGAAGAACACATTACTGATTACCAAGGAGTGGAGGGAGGAGTATGTGACTATAAAAGGGCAACTCTGGGATCCTGTGGTGACAGAACTGTATCAATATGTTAATAGCCTACTTGTAACAGTGAAAAGTGGAAGTTTTTTTTTTTTTGCTTAATCATATTGGACTCTTTGCAACTCCATGGACTGTAGCCCCCCAGGCTCCTCTATCCATGGTATTTCCCAGGCAAGAATACCGGAGTGCATTGCCACTTCCTTCTCCAGAGGGGGCTTCCTGACCCAGGGATCAAACCTGAGTCTCCTGCATTGGCAGTCAGATTCTTTGCCGCTGAGCCACCTGGAAGGCCCCAATAGTATAGTAGGGATTTTTTTTTTAATAATAATTATAAAGACTAGATAGCCAGAATATTAGGCTATAATCCTAAGTTTTAAAACATATACAAATTTTATACATTGGTATAATTAGATTTATACAATAAATTAAGAGTGAAAATTCAAAAAAAGAACATCTAGGTAAGTCTGATATTCAAAATTTTTTAAATATCTAATACAACATTTAGAATTTAACAGGTAGTTGATAAATTATAGGACTTCCCTGGTGGCTCAGATGGTAAAGCGTCTGCCTACAATGTGGGAGACCCGGGTTCAACCCTGAGTCAGGAAGATCTCCTGGAGAAGGAAATGGCAATCCACTCCAGTATTCTTGCCTGGAAAATCCCATGAATGGAGGAGCCTGGTAGGCTACAGTCCATGGGGTCAAAAAGAGTCAGACATGACTGAGCGACTTCACTTTCACTTGATAAATTTTATGTTAGCAATACCTCAACATAAGGCAGTATCACTGCTAAATTTCAGAGAATTTCCTGAAATAAGCCAAGGGGGAGGGGAGGAAGAACCAGTAGACCCATCTTGCACATTTTCCAAGTGGGTTGTGTGGTTAGTGCTCTTATTGCCGAGGACCCGGGTTCAATCCCTGGTTGGGGAACTAAGATCCCACAAGCCAGGTGGCATGGCCAAATAGAAGAGAAACCAAGTAGGCAGACCACTTGTTTCTGCACCACCTTAGCACTTGTGGTAAACACAGGAAGAACCAAGACTGATTCCACTGGCCATGAAGGGTGTAAGATGCTGAAATCCAGAAGTGGAGCTGGGTGTGGTGACTACATTTCCAGGACTTCTCAGCATCTGGTCAAGCCTAGTTGCTAGGTTGGGCTTGTGGTGCCCTGAGGCACAAAAGGGGGCACCCAACTCTAAGAAATCTGATAACCTGCCCAACCATTCAGTCCCCAATCAGGTCTTCAGGGTCCCCCTGACTGATGCTCAGAACTTCAGCTTCTGGCGGTCCAACGGTGCAGGAGTGCGCCCAGAGGAGACCATGCCCTGGATCCGGAGCCCCCGCCACTGCCTCATCAAGAGTGCAATGACCAGGTTAGGTTGGGAGGGGTGAGGGTGGGGAGATCACTTAAATCCTTAGAGATGCTTTCATTTCTATTCAGAGTTGGAAAATGGAATAGGAGGTTTTGTCTTACCAGGGAAAACTGGCCCCAGAATCTAGGCAGTAGTGGCTACTGCTAGTAGTGGCTATTCAAAGGAGCTAAAAGATTTATCCGTGTCTTTGTGTTTCACCTTATGGCTATGACTTCTGAACAGACTCAAGAATCTACAGCATTCCTGTGGGAGGCCTGGAATGTTTCTGCTCCCTTCACTGCCACCTCCCACCCCTCTAAGCACCACCCATTGGCAGCAGCTCCACCTCTTCATCACTACCCCTGCCCATTCAAGGTTTAAGACCCCCACCCCCACCCCTAGTCCAGCCTAACCTGGCTGAATTTGAGACTGTCTCTTTTACAGGTTTATGGATCACTCTATTCTCAATGACAGAAACTTCAGTCTGTATTGAGCAGGATGTGTTTGCAGGACAAGATAGTACTGCGGATGAAGCAGTGAAGAGGGAGGTATCCTGGTTCCAATGGCTGATTAATGGGAGGAGGGGACTGAGAGAGTGCAATAAATAGACTGATCTAGAAGTAACTTGTGTACACAGGAAATGAGGGAGTTGGAAATTATTCCCCAATTCCTGTGAGATCAGGACTGTAAGAGATTCCTGAAGGAGTCAGAGCTTGGTGCTTGGTTTGGGAGGGGCCAGGACAGACAACTACAAGGGGTCCTGAGGTCACGCATGGAAGGAGTCAGAGTAACGAATGCTGCTGGGCCTCAGAGAGGTCACGCTCTCTGCAGACACTGCAGCTTCATCTTGGCAGATGAAAGAGGTCTACAGAACCCCCAGCAGGGGCCTGCCCCCTCCACCAGGCTCTGCCACTTCGGACCCAACCCAGGGCCCAGAACAGCTGCAGAGAACAGGGAATTTTACAAAGAGTTTGATTTTTATTGATATTTAAATATATTAAATATTTCATGAAATACAATGATATTCCACCCTCCCCCCGCCCCCGCGCTGGTTACATTATAAAACCAAAGTCCATGGGCCTCCCATCCACTGACTCCCCTACCAACTGGCAAGGGAGGGAGCAATATCAGCCCAGGGGAAATGCATGGCTGGCACTGCAGTGTGGGGAGCCAGGGTGCAGACAGGCCCCTTCCACTGGCAAGAAACACACACAAGTCACTCACTTCTGCTGTAAGTGAAGCGGTCTTCCTCTCTGGTCTCCTTACAGCCTCATCCCCACCCCAGGACCCCATGCAGAACCTTCCTGTCCAGGGCTGTAGCTGAGGGAAGGGGAGTGGACTTCATCTGAACCACCTTAGTCTTTTTTCTTCTCCTGCCTTGGCTAATGAAGTGACTGATGGCCCACTTAGTTGATACATGAAGATCCCCCAGAGCAGTCAATACAAGCCAGAAACAACCTCTGCAAGGAACTAGAGTCAGAAAGGGCGTGAGGAAGGGCAAGTACCACCTGCCCCTTCCAGTCCCCAGAGTCAGTAACTCTGGGACCCTCTCCCCTCTGCCTCTAACACCTCTGAGACAAAGCGATGTTCAAGCAAAACTGTGGCCAATGCCTCAGCTTCAACAGGTGCAGAGAAACCAAGGTACCGACTCATTCAGGCCAGAGGCAAGGCTGAAAGGAAGCAGGTGAAAGGCAGGCGCGGACAGGAAGGGAATCTAAGGCCCAGCCCTCCTAACCCTCCTGCCAGCCCTCGCAGGCTTCATGGGGACTGGGGAGCATGGAGCACGCTGGGCTCAGGCTGCAGAATGGGGACGGCTGAGGTCCGGGTTCCCCTCTCCTTGCCCCTAGTACCAGAATCTGGGTCCTTGGGGGATCCCATGCTACCCCAGTCCCAAGGCTTACCACATCCCAGGATACCACCTGGGGAAATCCAGGGGACTCCCGAGCCTCTGCCCACCAAACCCCAGACGGTTCAAGGTCAAGGGTCATGGGGGCTGCAGCAGGCGCTTGGGTCCCTGCCCGAGCAGAGAGACAGTCGTGCGGCATGTGTGGTCCCCACACGGCAATCAGGGATTCAGCACAGAAGACCTCCTCTCCCCAGCCACCCTCCTCTTGTTACCACACCCCATCCCACTCCTGTGCAAAATGGGCGTCTGTCTCCATCCCTTGAAATCAGACATCCTGCCTTACTCCCAGAAGACAGGCCCACAGGAAAGAGGCAACCCAGGGTGGAGAGTCGAGGAGCAGGAGCGCAAGGACACACAGACCTGGAAAACAGACACACACACACACACACGGACCACCGTGCACACACAGTTAACACAGACACACAGGCCCTCCCCAGTGCCAGAGGCCTGGGAGGACAGGTTTAGGATCAGGGTTGTCTTCCTCCAGGCCCTGGCCCTTTTCTATTTGGCAATAGAAGGGGTAGAGATGTTCTGCGTCCCTTTCAGCAGACAGCAAGAGTGCATGGGGGCAGAGCAGCCTGATCTGACCTTTGGAGTCTGGCACTACCCCCATCCCTGGCCGGCCTGCTCTCTTTGGCACCTGCAGGCGAACGTCCACCTTCCAGTCTTCTAACATCCTCATGCACGTGCCTGTTCCCTGGCTGGGTGTTTTCACAGTACCAGTGAGACCAGATGCCCCTCTCCCTGGAGCTGTGCAGGAACTGGGGCTAATCTGAGCTGTCAGAAGTCCCTTTGTTCCCCTTTGGGGACAGATCGTGGGACTAGGATTTGGCAAATGGAAACGTTCCCCTGAAACATGGACAGAGCTGCGTCTCCCGAGCCTCTCCCTCCTTGGCCCTGTGTCCCTGAGGGAGACCCGGCGGGGTGGGGAGGGCCCAGGACCCATGCTGGGGATGCAGGCACGGCAAAGGCAAGCGTGGAACAGGCACTCTTCAAGCCTGCCCCAGTCTTTGTACAAAAGATTCCCAGGAAAAAGGGAAAGGAAGGACCCAGCCCTGAGCCTGCTGCCCAGACAGACAGGGAAAAGGGAGGTGTGAGAAGCTGCCATTTTAATCTCTCAGGCAGGAAGGGTCCCCCGACCTTTGCTGCTGCCCCCTCCCCTGCTCCCAAAAGCTGGAAGAAAGGAGGGAAAGCAGCCCTACCCTAGTTTTAAAAAGTCACTTGCATAATCCTCTTGGTATCCCCTCGTTCACCAGCCTGAGGACGTGGTTGAACACAGCCAGCTGGGGTGTTCCCTTTGTGATCAGCAGGGTCTGGAAGCTCAGCGCCCCCTGCCACAGCTTCCCCCAGAGAGCACAGAATCCACCCAGATGCCCACCTTGGTCCTTTCAGTTGATCTGTAGCTGGGCCCTGCTAACTGCTGGGGCCCCCATTGAGGAAGTAGGTGGTCATCTCCCCCTTGCCCTTCACCTTGACCACCCCTCGACACTCCAGCTGGTAGCCCTTGGCCGCTAGAACCTGGTACAGGTCCGTGGTCACCTGGGGGGGTGGGGTGGGAGGGGAACCTGCTTAGGCCAGGATCCTTCCTGCTGCATTTGCAGGGGCCCAGGGGTTCTCTGGTCATGCTACTATCTCACCCCATAACCTCCTCCACCAAACACAAAATATCTCCGCCCTACCCCAGTCCTGGCTGACTGCAGAGGGGGCCCTGTGGAAGCTCCCCACACCCAGACCCCTCCCAGCTTCCGATTACAACCCCCTTACCTGGATTCGGTCGGGGACCCCAGTGCTGTCCATTCGACTCGAGACATTCACTGTGTTCCCCCAGATGTCATACTGTGGTTTTCGAGCCCCAATGACGCCTGCCACAACTGGGCCCATGTTCAGTCCTAGGGTGGGCAGGGATAAAAGTAAGAAATTGAGAGCAGTGGATGTTTCCCAGTCAGCCCAGGGAGGCATCACCTCCCGGCACCTTTAGAAGGACCCAGAGAAGAAACTGAAAATGGGACAAGTCTCCTGTTTGTAAAGAATGCCAAGGAGCTCCCCTGAGTCAGAAGGGCTATGCCAGAACAGCAGATGCTAATCCACCAAAGGCTCATGCTGTGCCAACCGCTCTGTAAGTATTTTACACTATCTCAGCCTCTCAAATCATCCCCATTTTATAGAAAAGGTACCTGAAGCTTACAGAAGTTAGGTGACTTGCTAAATAAGCCTATAAGTGGAAGAGCGAGAATTCAAACCAGACATTCTGACTCCAGAACCCATGCTATTAACCACTCCCATCCACCGGCTCATCTGGGAGGAAGTGGCTCTTATCAGACCAGCCACAGATAGGGACGTAGGTACTGGTATCTACATAAACCTGGTCTTGAACCCCAGTTCAGCCATAACTAGTTGTATGACCTTGGCTGAGTTGTTTACCCACTCTGAAAATCCAACTCTTTTTCTGTAAAAGGGGATAATAATGTGAGGACTGATGTGTTAAAAAAAGAAGTCTGAGACAATGCTTAGCACATAGGAGGCCCTTAATAAATGGTATCTATTCTTAACATCAGATGATATAGGAAGTGGGAGAAAAGGAAACCCCCACAGGACTCCTGATGGGGAGTCTGAGACGCCATCCCCAGCCTGCTGCCTCAGCTTCACCCCAGAAAGAGCCCTGGGAAAAATGTGCCATGATCCAGGCCCTCTTACCAATCTTCATCTGGAAATTGTTGAAGGAGTGCTCATTGATGTGCTTCATCTGCTCCATGAGCCGCATGGCATAGTCGGCGAGGGCAGTGATGTGGGAGCGGCCCACCTGGTCATAGGTGCTGGCGTTCAGCCCAGAGGCAGCCATGTAGGTGCTACCAATTGTCTTGATCTTCTCCAGCTGCCGGAAGCGCTCCTCACTGATGATCTGGACAGTACAGAGGACCTGGCTGTCAAGGCAGAAAGGCCAGACCCAGCCCTGCCCCAAGGCTCCTTCCTGGCTATGCTCTGGCCCCCTGCCCCACTTTCCTGTCTCAATACTTCTCTCCAGTAAGTTAGCCCCACTTCCAACTACTGTTCTTGGTGCTGGGCTAGGAACAGGGAAAACGTCTCCCTTTGGCAGCCGCCAAAACCCAAGCAGGGACTTGAGCACCCAACTCCAGGTCAACTTCGACAGCTCACTACAGAACCCAGGACCACAGGAGGGATATCAGGCATCAGTGATTCCAACCCTCACCTTTGGGGGAAAAGTCCCATACTGAGGAAGTGCCTTCTCTCCAGACCTGACCTGAATGTTCAGGACGCTTCCTCATATTGTACTTCCATTTTCTCTATTTGGGATCATCTTGATTACTTGGCCTCATGAGGCCGTACTCTATAGATTACCAGCTCCTTCTTCAATGATATCCACTTGCTAACTCTACTGGCCCCTCCACAGATATTCACGTCCTCCTCTGCTCTCCAGTAACAATGATCCTGCCCCACTGGAGCTGACCCTGCTGCCTGTGACACATTCGTATCTGTCCCCAACTTCACTGTGCCTACCTTTACTCCTGCCCTTCACATCTCTGGGTCTCATCAGATGGGCCCCTCCAACTGGGACCTTCTTATCCAAAGTTCTCCCCACTTCTCTGGTCCCCACATCCCCCACCCTCTGCCAGCACCAGCTGAGGACAAGTACCTCATCAAAATCAGCAATGATCTCGTTGAGCAGTCGCAGGCACTCAACACCCTCGTTGTTGGCCTCCAGCTCCACATAGAACTCAGAGAAGTTGGCAATGGAGGCGAACATGACAGCCACACACTCACAGGACTGATAGTAGAGCTCATCGTTCCGGCGCTCCCGGGCCAGGAAGTGGGCGGCCACGTCCTTGGGCAGAATGTTATGTAGCAGCCGCCGGTTGTAGGCCTGGAGCTCTTCCATCTCCTCCTTCTCCCCTGTTGCCTGTGGATACCACACCCATCACCCACTGCCCAACATCCACAAGGCGTGGGTACAGCGGCCAACACCTGGAGAAGGGTATCCGAGGGAACCACGTGGGAGAAGAAAACCAGGGAGAGAGGAGGCCAGAGAACAGGCAAAGGGGCCGAGGAGGCAGGGACAGGATGAGGCGGGGGATGGGGGTGGGCACAGGGAAAGCATGGAGCCAGGTTGGGCTCAGGGCAGGCTGAACCTTGACCAGCCTAAGAAATGCCTGACATGGCCCAGGCTCCGCCCCCAGGAACCACCCACCCACCCCAGAGGCCTGCCCTGTCACCTGCAGCTTCCAGAGGAAGTCCAGGCGGGCAGTGGACTCCACCTGCTGGGCATGCAGGTACAGCGCCAGTGCGAACACCAGTAGAATCACAGGGGTCATGTATTTGAGTGCCACCCTCCCGGCCGCTGGGCTGAGGGAAGCAGAGGCGGGCTCAGTGGCTGAAAGCAGCGTCTGGCAGCCCAGCCCTTTGCTGCCCTGGAGCCTCACTCACCAGTCCAGCCCATCAGAGGTCTCGTTGGAAGAAGCCCTGGCAGGAAGATACAAGAGACAAAGTCATTGGTTCTTCCTGGGTTGCCAGGTCAGAGCATGGAAGAGGAGATAGAAACTGCATTTACTGAGCACTACAGATCAGGGACCAGGCCAAGGCATTTGCTTGTATTAAGAGCAGAGATTCCACTCCTGGCTCCTCTACCCACAATCTATGTGACATGGAACAACTTGTTTAACTATGTAAGACTCAGTTTCCTCATCAATATAAGAGTGATCAGATCTAAACAATGTGAGCAAAAGGCTTAGCACATCCACAGCTATAGAAAGCCCAAGTAGCACAATAAAGACCCAGCACAGTCTAAATTCTTAAAAAATGCTTTTAATTAGAAAAAAGACTTATTTAGCACAGTGCTTGGCATCAGCAAGTCTTTGATAAATGTTAGTTACTATAATCTTTACAACTACCCTGTGATATGGATGGCACTGCCATTTTACAGATGAGGAAACTGAGGCTCAGAGAAGTTAACTTACCGATCTAAGGTCACACAGCTAATAAGTGGCAGAGTAGGGATTCAAACTCAGCAGGCTGCAGAGGCTTTTTCTACCACATCATATGTCTCTGCCACATAAGGTGTGGGCTTTTACAGAGGAAAAGCCAGTGATGTCCCAGGCAGAGCCCTGAGGCAGGAGCCCGGGTTTTGGTTCCTTTCCTAGCCGGCGCACTACCCCAAGCAGCTATGTGACCTACAAGTAGTTAAGAGTGGATATGAAAGCAACATGCAGATGCAAGAGGGAGTTTTTATTTTCAATGTCTAGCCTAAAGACAAAGGGACTTCCCAGCTCTGGGGTTTCCTTGAGGTGACTGCTGGGGGTCATGTGCACCTCCTTTCCCCCCATGTGAGGGGTGAGTGGTAGCATGCCAGGGCACAAAGGGCTCTCAGCGACCCAGAAGGGTCAAGAGGCTCCTGGGGGATTAAAGGGGTTGAGGATAAACTCACAAGCCATGGACGCTCAGCAGGAGGTCATAGTTGTCAAAGATGGTGGCCGGGGGACCGAGCAGAAGCAGCACCAGATAGACGAGCCCCAGGACAAAGATCATGGCCAACTTCCCGATACTACTGATGTGCAGGAAGACAGAGCTGGCCAAGAGACTCAGCAACACATTCCCAATGAAGTACTGCGGAGCGAAGGCAGAGGAAGTCTGGGTGAGGGCAGAGGACAAGGCATGCCGCCGCCTGACCTAAGTCCCCTTCTACAACCTCAAACCCAAGCCTCCTCCACCCTCCACACACCCCTACACCACACCATGCCAGGGCTGCTCCTGGAGCTGGAGACTCTGGTGAGATCCTGGGTCCCCAGTGCCCACCACCAAGCCTGGCACAGAAAGGTCAAGAACTGGTACTGATCAGGACCCCCCCCACCCCGCCTGACCACTGCCTGGACACCTCGGGGAAGCTGCAGGTGGGTGCGGTGCCCTCACACAGGGGAGCATCCAGGCCCAGAGAGTAATTGAGCTGCTGCAGGTGGCAGGCGGTAATGTCAGCAGGGGTTAAATTCAGCATCCGGGCAGCACAAGTCCGTATGGGGGTGTGGTTACAGGTGAACTGCAAAAACAGGGGGAGGGGAGGTATATATCAGGGTAACTGAGGGAGGGGAAGGGTTACTAGGGCCATGCCCAAGTGCCTTATATGCCAGAGGCCCCAGTTCTCACTGAGGGATAACAAAAGGCAAAGGGAGCAAGCCGGGAGGACAGGGGTTAACCTCGCTCCTGCTTTGAGGAGGAAATGTGTCTCCTTCCTCCTTGTAGCCGTAGCACCCAGAACAGTGCTTGGCACAGAGAAGGAGCAGAATTCTCCCTGGACCTTTACCATGCTGGCAACGGCGGAGGTGAACACAAGCAGGACAGAAAAGATGCCAACTGCGGTGCTGTGTGCCCTCGAGCGGACGATACTGCGAGACACACGTCGCAGGGCCTCAGGGAACAGCTGTCAGGAGGCAGGAGACGGAGACAGCCCACGTCACCCAACAGGTAAGGCCACGCAGGGCCAGGTCCAGTGGCAGAGGCCTGGCCTTCTCCTCCCTCCCCACTCCCGGCCTGGCCTTCCCAACCAGCCCCGGAAGGTCCCCCACGTACAGAGCCACAGGAGTACACAGCACAGGTCAGCACGGTGACCAGTAACAGCACGAAGATACCAGCGTGGATCCCAAGCATCAGGGCTGAGCTGGGCGGGAGAGGGCCAGGGAAGATGTTACTTGGCAGATATGGGGGTCCTTTCCCATGCCCTGGGCAGGCAGGGGGCAGGCCCCAGGACTGTGTGCTTGTGAGGATGTTTAAGAAGGGTCCGGGAAGTAGGGGAGGGAAGAGAAGCCCAGCAAGGAGGGGCAGAGCTTACCGTGGGAAGACTAGGAGCTGGATGAAGCAGATGAAACAGAAGACCAGCAGGGCACAGGCCACGTAGGCTCCAAAGCGGGGGTCCACCTTGCGTGAGTACTGAGGGACAGGAGACTGAGCTGGGCGCTGCCACTGCCCTCGGAAGGCGGGGTGTTGCCAGTCGGCCCAGCTGAGATGCATCCCCACAGTGCCCTGTGGTCACGCCCGACTCCCCAGAAACCTCTCCTGTTCCCTCACTTGTGCTCAGACCGCCCTGCCGGGACCTCCTCCTCCTGCCCTTGCATCCCCCAAACCTTCTTTTCAAGATCCTCTCTCTGGAAGGTGAGCAGGAACCGGCGCACGTGGTCCTTGCGCAGCTGATCGATGCTGCGGGCGTCAATGGCCCGGCCCAGGAACTCGTCCACCTCATCCTCAGGGTTCAGGGCATCCTGAGCACCCCGGCTGAGGGCAGAGGACATGGCTTCACCAGGTGCCTGACCACGGCCACGTGACAGGTGATGAGAGGGAAGGGGCATGGGCAGCACTCAGAGGAGTGTGAGCGGGGCAGGTGGCACCTGCTCCCACATGACACATCTGAAGTCCAGGGAAGAGGGGGATCTCAGCTCCCCACCACCTCACCCCAGGGTGCAAGTGCCTTCACCCACCCGCCCTCCTCAACAGTCTGACTTACTTGTCTTTGCTGGAATCATCAATGCCCTGGAGAAAGGGACAGAGTGTGTGAGTGAGGTGATGGGCAGGCCACCTTCACCTCTACAGTCCCTTCCCCACCCCCAACACTGTGCTGAGGGCTTTCCCCATAGACTCTAGGGAGCCTGGGACCCCTGGGATGAAATCAGCCCTCCCATTCCCAATTCCAGAAACTACAGAGACAATAGCCTCAACAAGAGAGGCAGAAGAGGGCAGGGGGATACTGAGTGTTGAGGGAAACAAGAAACCAAGGCCCGGGTCCAGGTGCGGTGGGACCCTCACCATCTGGCGGAAAGCCTTGGAGTCCTTGGTCCGGGAGAAGGCACGGTCAGGTACCCAGCGTGGCATCAGCCCCTCCATGGAGTTGGCGCGCGCCCGCTGCAGCTTGGCCAGCATGGCCTTCTCCTCTTTCTGTGTGGACAGCACAGGTACAGGCTGGGAAGAAGTGCCCAAAGAAGGCCTCTGCTTGCTCCCTCCATCTGCCCCTCTCCCCAGCTGCCTTGCCTTCCCCAACCCGACCCTGACCCGTTTCTGGCTGGCTCCCAGGATGAGGAAGGTCTCAATGTGCTGCTCCTTGAGGTAGGCGTTGCGCTCCCCGCCGCGGCCCGGCTCCACCTCATAGTCCCCATTCAGGTACTGCAGCGTGGCCCGGGTGATGTGGATGCGGCTGCGTGGGACAGGCGGGTGAGACCCTGGCTTACCCGATGGCTCCCACCCCTGAGCCCCTGGACCCGCACTCACCCGGCCCGGCCCCCAGCCTCCATGTGGTTGGCCAGAGTCACGTCATTGGACCACACATCAAACTGCCACTTCCGCAAGCCAAGGACGCCGCAGTGCACACGCCCGCTGTGGATGCCCACGCGCATGTTCACGTTCACACCTGTCACCTCGCGCACCAGCCTGGGAGGAGGTGGCCTGGCTCAGCTCTTGGTAGTCCTCCCCACCCCTAGCCCAGAGCCCAGGCCTTGAGCTCGCCTTGGAGCCAAGTGGGCAAGGACAGACCCAGCCACAGGGCACACGGCACACCCTCGGCGGGACACAGGTAGGAGGCTGCAGAGGGCTCAGGGACACATGTGTGGGAACCCTGCTCGCCAGCAGGGGTCCAGCTGCATCCTATGGGACTGGGGGAGGAGATGAGGCATCACCACCCTCCCAGCAGGCTGACAACTGGCATTCTCTCCAGCGTAAATCCCCCCTCACCCTGACTCCCCCTGCCCCATCCCAGCCACTGGAGTCTAAGGTGCCCATGGATCTTCACATGGGCTGAAGCCTTTCCCCTCCCCAGGCATGGATCTCCAAGACAGAGAGACAGCCAAGACTGAGGAAAGGTCCTAAGGACACATCGAAGGGGAAGGGCAGGCGGGGCCCCCTCAGTCCCAGGAAGCCTGGGAGGTGCTCACGAGATAGCCTCGATCATGTCCACCCCCATCTCCACGCAGCAGTGGGCATGGTCTGCCCGGGCCTCTGGCAGCCCTGACACGCAGTAGTAACAGTCCCCTAAGATCTTGATCCTCAGGCAGTGATTTTCCTGCAGCAGAAAGAGTTGGGGGAGAGTCACCTTTACTCTCGTACCACCCGGCCCACCTAGCCCACTACTCTCACTGCAGACTCCAACAGGCTCTCACCCCAAGCTGCTGCCAGAGAGGTGTGCCCTCACCCAGTCGGCCCTGCCCCCTAGCCCCAGCACCCTCACCGCAGCCAGCTTGTCAAACCGGGCAAAGAGCTCGTTCAGGGTCATGACCAGCTCCTGCGCTGTGCACTGGGACGCCAGACTGGTGAAGCCTTCAATGTCCGCAAACAGGATGCTGTGGAAGATGGCAGGAGATGGAAGGATGGTGTGGCCCTCAGAGACTCACAGACCTCCCCACCTCTCCCAGTATCCTCCCCACCCCAACCCTACCTGACATTGTCGTGCTTCTGGATGTAGATCTTATGAAACATCATGTCTTCTTTCTTTGTGTTGATGTCTTCTTTCATCTCCATGGCAACGTGCTGGGGCAACACAGACAGCAGCAGCCGCTCCTAGACCAGTGGTTTCAACAGGGCACCACTATCTTCCTGGCCTCACGCTTTAATCCCTCCTGGTCCTTCCACATCCCTGGAACCCTCCCTGACCTCTCTGGAGACCTGAGCTTCCCTCCTGGACCGTAGCCTGACCCTCCTCCGATAGAGCCCTCAGCAGACACACACCCCAGTCTTCTCTGACTACACCCCATTCAGCCCCTCAGGTGCATTCCATCTATTCCCTCCCCTCCTCTGACAGGCCACCAAGTCCAAAGTCAGAGAGCCTCTGTGATGCACAGTCAGGGGGAACCATTCACTACTCCATCGAGTTGCACAAGTTGGCAGATCCAACCTGCAAGCTATTGGCAGGTGGAGCGGGGGAAGGCCGTGATCTGGAAGAGCAGCCCCACCTGCTGCCGGTTCTCATGCTGCAGGTGCAGCCGGGCCTGGATGTAACCGCGGGTCTCTTGAAAGGCCTGGCGCTGAGACACCTCAGCCGGATAGTGAGTGCAGATGCCAATGACATTGGTGCAGAGGAACAGCAACATGTTGGCACCAAGCTGCAGAGGGGTGGCAGAGGCAAACGGTGACCACCCCCAACACACACTGCCGCAACTAGCTAGGCTCTTGGTAGAAGGACTATTTGGGGGAGGAAGCCAGGAGCCTGTGCCCTGTCTTTCCCAAGCCCAGCCCCACCCCTGCAGTCCAGCTCCCCATTCCCCATAGGGGTCCAGCTCCCTGCCTGGCTCACCCCTGGTGAGAAATGTGATCTTCTCACAACTCCTGGGAGTGGACGCACCAGCCAGGGCCAGGTAGGTCACGGGCCTGCCCCAGCACACTCTGACTCCCTGCCACACAAACACCCCAAACAAAAGACACATGCTGCTGCTCCAGCATGTGGTTCTCCTCACAGGACGACACCCAGGAGACCTGAGCGCCAAACCTCCCTGTGTGTGCCTAGGATAAGTCCCCTCATCTCTCTGGGCCTGTCTGCTTGTCTGGAACCTGGAGAGGGACAGTGAGATCTCCAAGGTTCCTCCCTACCCTGACATAAATTAATACGATAATAATGACTACTATTATCATTACTGGAGCTAATTTGTTGGCTATTTACAACGTGCTTGGATTCTATAGGTGTGCTCTATACATTAACGAATGCATTTCTTACAACTCTATGAGATGGGGAGCATAATCTCATTTTAAAGGTGAGGGACTCCGGTGCACAGAAATTATATAAGCTGCCCAGGATCTCACCGCTGGTAGTAGCTGGTGTGAGACTCAAGTACAGGACAGTCAGACTCCAGGCTGTGTCCTAATCTACCGTGTACTACAGCCTACGTTCCCAGGACTCCAACTCACTCCACTCACCAATGCTCTTGAGGCCCACCTCAGAACCCAGGCTTGGGAGTCATCGATTCCACTGACACGAAGAACACTTCTGAAGTGGGATGGGGTGCCACCACGCCTGGCCACCCCCAACACTTGGTCCAGCCAGGTCCCTACACCCTAGGACCCCAACCCAAAGGTATTCCATCCTCAGTCAGCAGCAGCAACAGTAACTGGAGAGCGAGTCTAAGGGAAGCTGGCCTCGGTGATTCTGGAACTTCAGGGGTTAACCTGGCACTTGTGGCTCCACCCCAGAGTTGGCTGGGGCAGGGCTCTGGTTTTGGGAGAAGGGAGGGCAAGAGCAGCAACTGGAAGCCAGGAGTTCTGGGCTCTGCCCGGAACCAGGACTCATCCTGCAAAATTGGGCCTGTCACTCAGTCTCTGGGACCTCGGCTTCTTGTTCCTTGGGTAAGACGGAGGGTGGGCCGGCTAACCCCCTGCCATTCCCAGCTCCCGCCCTCTAGGATTGGTCTCCCAGCTTCCCTTCTCTGTGCAGCTCACAAGACCCCCCCTTCCCAGCAGCAGGGGTGAAGAAGGGGGGCACACTATCTCCCTCGAGGGTTTCTAAGAATAGCCCCCAGTGGGGGAGAAGAAAAGGGGGGGCAAACCAGGCAACTTCCCTTCCTGGCCCCAGGAGCCCAAGAGGAAAATGTGAGTCATGGTGGAGGGAAGGGGAAGGGGGACAAGAGACTGAAATAGATCTGTACACAGACCCCGATCCGACTGTGAGAAAAAATGGCTGCTAGGGAGGTGTAGGACATGCCAGGCTGGACTGGGTCACCGGGTGAAACGGCTCAGTGTGTCTGGGTGAGTGGGTCAGAGGACGATCAAAGGTCTGGATCTGGGAAGGGGCTGTCCAAGGACCACAGAAAGGAGGCCAGAGCCCCACCCAGAAACCTGAGAGCCAACTGGGTGCAGGGAATCCTCAGTTCAGAGAAGGGGTATGGGGCTGCCCTGGCCCCAAGGACTGGCAGCTTTCTCCACTCGCCCCAGGAACATGCCCACTGAGCCCTACTGCTTGGGCACCCTGGAGAGGCGGGAGACTGGCACAGTCCTGGCCTCCAAGGACCTGTGCCTCCCTAGTCAGGCCCTGGGCTTGGCTCTGGGCACCAGGCCAGCAGAAACCAGGGAAGAGCCACCCATCTACCCCAGAAAGGATGGGGGGGTGGGCGGTCCCACCTCCAGGCTCCTCCTTCCCCAAGAGGGCAGTCCAACTCCAATGCCCAGTGTGACAGCTCCCCTGGAGAGAGATGGGGGGCTAGCAATGGCAGAAGGACCCTGGCCCTTTAAGAGATTTGACAGCACCCTGCGGGTATGTGCTTCACAAACAAACTGGCTATAAGGTTACTCTTAAAAAGGTACATTCTGTTCCACAGGCGAGGCAGGGAAGGGCATCATGCCAGAGCACCCAGCTTCTCACCCTGGGAGCCCCAGGCAACTTCCTCTTTGTGGGTGGGGCTGGGTGGGCTACAGGCCACAAGCTCTGGGCAAGGTAGAGCAAGAAAGCGGACAGCACCATCTACACCAGGGGCCAATGGAGGGATCACAAGGAGGGTCGGGGAGCTGTATCTACCGCAGCCCCAAAGGCTCAGCTGGGCAAAAGCCCCTGTGCCTGGTCAGGGGGCGACACGAGACAGCCAACTCCACTGGCTCACGTCTCTCTGCAACGGACGTCCCGGAAGCCCCTTCGCTGGGTCCCATCCCCTCCAGCCTCCCCACACCTCGCTGCAAGTGAGAGCACCACCCTGTGGGGCTCTGCTCCGCGCTGGCAGAGGGCAGGGCCCAGACAGCAGCATCAGGAGGCAGACACCATCTGTATCTCCTCTTTACAGAATGGGAACCTAAGACCGGGAGAGGCAAGATGTGCTGTCTGCGCGCTCACAGAGAGGATTTCAGCCCCTTGGACAACCAGGTCTGCCCGCAGCCAAGCTCTTACGAGAGCCTCACCTCACATACCACTCAGAACCCAGAAGCAGAAGCCCACAGGGGCAGAGAGCCTCAAGGCAGTTTCCAGAGCCCTGGTGCTCAACGGGAAGAAGGTGAGATGAGGTCGGAGCCTAATGCCCCTCTTGTCCACAGTCCCATCCCAAACTATTCCCAGCCCAGGAGAGAAGAGACCATCCATCACCTCCCCTGTCCTCTGGGAGCTGGCCTCGGTCCAGGAGACAGGTGATTCCTCCCTTGCCAACTCCATCGAGAACCTACTTTATCCCCCCACATCACCACTGAGAGCTGCCTAGAAGAAAGGCACCAAGCCTGGAATCTCCGGTTGGGGTCAGGGGTCAGGGTAGAATATAGCCTCCCCTGCCCCTCTCAGCCTTGCCCCCACCCAGGGGCTAAACATCACCTGCCCTCCTCCAGCCCTACACTGTGTCTCTACAGATTATACTGTTTCAAGAGCCTCAGACTAAAGAGCTGCGGACAGTGGCCCACGGGAACAGAGCACAGGGTCTGCAGCCTTCCTTCCCCTCCTCAGGGCCTTCTGCCCCAGATCCCAGATGGAGACTGACCCCTGAAACCAGGCCTCCCAACCCCTGCCCCCCTTCTCCCTCACCCAGTGTCCATCCAGGACTCATCCGCCCCCCTCATCACCAGACCCCTTCTCATTCCTGGCCTGATGCCCCAAGGCCTACCTCCCCGACCACCCACCTGCTTCCAGAGGAAGGCATCACCACGGTTGAGCTGCCAGGCCAAGATCAAGTGCAGGGTGGAGAGGCCCAGGCCGCTGAAGACAGCGGCCCGCATGCGGATGGGGAGGAGTGTGTAGGTGATGTAGACAAAGAACACAGGGCACCAGAGGCCTGCAGACGGGCTGTGCGGGTTGGCTGCCAGGGCGCCCCCGACCTGCACGGCCGCCAGGATGCCCAGCACCACATAGCTCACCACCCACATGGCGTCCTGGCGGAAGCTGTGGCGGTTGCACACCACCATGAGTGCCACGAAGAGGGTGGCGGCGCAGGCCAGCAGGGCCACATAGGCGGGCTGAGGGTGGGCGGGCGCTGCGTGGAAGGCCAGCAGCACGGCCGTGAGCAGCACGAGCACCGCCATGAGCAGCGTCAGGCTGCTCTGGTTCATCTGGAAGAAGTACCGCTGGTACAGGCGCTCCAGTTTGGCCGAGCGGAACTGCTTCGACCTGAACACCTGCACCAGCTGGCGCCAGCAGGCTCTCCTGCTCCTGGTGGCCACGCTGGGGGCCGCCTCAGCTGCCCTGACGGCCATGGCCCCCTCAGGGTCCTCGAAGCCCAGGGCCACCGCCCGCAGCCCCAGCTCCGGGCCCTTGCCTGGGCCCCCCCTCCGGATGAAGGCCTCATCCTGCCAGGGGCACCGAGGGGCAGTGGCGGGGGTTGGGCTGGGTGGCTGCGCACCCTGGAGGCAGCTCATGTAGCGGGGTGTGCAGAAGCCACTGGTGCGGGTCCCGCGGCGCGGCCGCTGCTGCCCATTGCGTTCCCCCCAGGCTGTTTTCCGTTCATCCACTTTGGGGACCAAGAGGCCGCTAAACCACGACATCCTGCGGGGAGGAAAGGAATGAGACGGTGTCAATACCCCCATCACGGGCCGCCACCACCAGCAGCTCTGAGCACTTCTGCTGCCACGCTGAGCGCTTCGGGCACATCCTCCTCCTAAAATGACTCTGAGGAAGACCAGGGTAGCCCTAGTCAACAGGTGAGGAAGGGTGGGGTCACCTGCCCAAGGTCAAGCAGCCACACAAGTGTAAGAGCTGAGATTCTAACCCAGATCGGTCTGACTCCAAAGCAGTTCACTTAAACATCCACCTCTTCCCTATAAGGCACTGATCTGGTGGTCACAGACTCGAGTGCCTGTCAATGAGAAAAGTCACCTGGCTCAGGAGAGTGGGGGCACACCCCAGACAGGGGCGAGCACCACCCCGCACTGGTGGACTGGTGCCACCGGTGTCCCAGTGGAATCTCATCTGATTTTTCAACAGAAGCTTTTAAAAAAAGAGTAGACTTTAACACGACATCTCCTGGTTTTACATGTTGGCAAGGGACTTCCCTGGTGGATCAGTGGTTAAGACTCCACTCTCCCAAAGCGGGGGGCCCAGGAGTCATCCCTGGTCAGGGAACCAGATCCCACATGCCGTGTGGTGCGGTCAAAAGATTAAAAAAGAAAAATTAAATTTTGGCAAGTAACCAACATTTCTCAATACTGCAAGCCAAATAAATCACATCTATGGAATGAATTCAGCCTGTGAGCTGCCAACTGGTGACCTCTGTACAAGCGGGGATCTTGCACCCGTGCGCGCGCGCACACACACAGCGCACTTCACCAAGTGAAAGTCACTCTCCCCCAGGTTCCAGCTTAAACGTAACTTCCTCAGGAAGGTGTCCCAGGCCCCCACCCAGACTAGGTTTGGTCCCTTATTCACTCTCCACGCATTCCCTCCGTAGTACTGGTCACAACTGAAACTAAATCACCCCTTGGAAAAGACCCTGATGCTGGGAAAGACTGAGGGCAGGAGGAGAAAGGGGCCACAGAAAACAAGATGGTTGGATGGCATCACTGACCCAGTGGACATGAGTTTAAGCAAACTCCAGGAGATGATGAAGGACAGGGAAGCCTGATGTGCTGCAGTGCTTGGGGTCACAGAGTATCAGGCAAGACTTAGAGGCTAAACAGCAACCACAGCACCCCTTGTTTATTGTGTGACTCTGCCCCCAGACTATGAATGTTATGAAAGGAGGGATGATACCTAGTTTGTTCAGCACTTTATCCCCACCCCCAAGTACCCCGAGCATTGAGCCTGGCTCATAGTAGGTACTCAACCAATTTATATGTTGAAAAGATAGGAAAAAAGCAAGCTCAAGGGACTAGTTCAAGAGACGCTAACGTGAAATAATAACTAACAGCGATAATCCTATGATTCTCCATCTCTCTTATTGTACTCTGGTTCACTTAGCCACTTTGCTGTTCCCCAACACACCATGCACAAGCCAGCCTGGGACCTTGGTGCTTGCTGTCCCCTTTGCCTAGAACAAGGGCTCCTCCAGGTCACAGCTCAAACACCCCCTTATCAGTCAGCTTTCCCTAACCACTCTATTAAAATAGCAACCCCCTTTCCTGGCGCTCCCTATCTCTCTTCCGAGCTTTATGCTTTATTTTTCTCCACCACTCTTATCGGCAACTGCCATTTTATATATTTTTCTTATTTGTTCATTGTCTGTCTCTCCTAACTGGAATGCCAACTTCATGAGGGCAAGGATTTGGGCTGGTTCTGCTCACTGCCACATCTGCAACACCTAGAAGGGTCTAAATGAATGTTCACTGAGTGGACAGGTGGGTTGGGGGATGGATGGATAGATAATATTTCCACGCACTTTCCCTCTGCTTTGAATGATTATCTGATCATCACCAAAACCCTGTGAGGCTGGTCCTGTGGCCACCCAGTGCACGGGACAGATTTGACAGCCAAACAAAACAGAATGAAACCGAGGTCCACTGGAGTCTTACACGGCCAGCCCAAGCTCAAGGGATCACGAGGAATCAAGTCAGCCCCAGATCTCACGTCTCCGGGAGGAAAATGTCTTGACCTGGGGCGGGAGGACTCCCTGACAACACCCTGGACGTGTTTCCAGCTGAGCGCAGCTCAGGAGAAGGTGAGGGTGAGAGCCCCGCCACCATGGACACCTGTGTCCCCTCCAGGGCTCCATTCTTCCATGCCACGGGGCACCCTGAGAGGCTCCCCGAGAGGCTCCCCACACAACCCTGCAGAGCTAGCAGCACTGACATTTGTACTCACGAGAGGAGTACCCAGCACTTGCCCAGGTAGCCACAGAAGCAGTGTTTCAAGCTGCCACCCAGGGGCCCACGGGGCAGAAGGCAGTCTGGGGACCTCTCTGCACACGGGAAACCCCCATTCCCAAGCACACTCCACCACGTTCCCTCGGTGTCCTTCGACCCCTTAACATCACCAACTGCACCATCTGGAGAAACAGATCAAAAACCCAAGACTTCTGGTCAGGCTGGTGTTTGGAAAAGGTCACCGAAGAAAGCCTGGCTCTTCAAAACAGTTCCCTGGAAACGGGGTCTTGGGAATGAGACTAGGCTTCAGACCTTACTGTGATTATTTGCTAGCTTCACGGCCTCAGACAAAGTTACATCACCTCCCTATGTCACTTTCTTCATCTGTAAAATGGGAATAAGAAGAGTTGCAAGGGAAGAATAGAACAGCCCCTGCCACGCACGTAGTACACACTTAGTAAACATGAGCTCTTCTCCCCGCCTTCCACCACTTTGAACCTAAAAGCCTGTCAATGTCCAAGAGATGGAAAGAGAGGAAAAGTCATGAGCAAAACCCCACGCATGCCAGCCAGTCACGCGTCACTATGTCCTCAACTGTCAGTCTCCAGAGCTGCATGAGACACAGCCCAGAGCAAGCAGGTTGCCCACTCCCCGTGATATTTTGCTTAAGCCTCCTCACCCTCACCCGTCCCCTGACCTGTCCTTACCACCACCCTCCCCACCACGGCCAGACCTCCGTTCCCAAAGGACCCGTTTCTGGCCATGTTCCCAGCCCCCTGGAAGCACATCCTAGCATGTGGCTTGTACTCACAGAGGAAGGCACAGACATTGTCCAGCAGAATGCATGACCCTCCCAAGAACGCTCTGACCCCACAAGCGGATAGCTTCAGAGATCTGTAATTGTCCAACCAACTGCAACCATCCCACCCTGGGCTCCACTCCAGGCGCTGCCCAACTTGGGAGAACTCACTCCTGGCACCCCACGCCAGGCTGGTACGGCAGGGAACAGGGCAGAGTACTGTTCAAAGCCACAAAACTTCCCTATATGGGCCCCTACCCCTACATGTCCAGGAACCCAACCCTGTGAACCACAGACCACCCGCTCCTCCCCAGATGCAGGCTCCTGAGCCTGTGCCCCGGACCCTTCCTCCCCAGGCTCCTAGCCTCTTTGCTGTCTCACCGATCTTCTGCTCCAGTGCAGACCCAGGCACCTCTGGCTCCATCTGGGAGCTGTGTCCATGCAGCCTGGCAGACCCAGGCCCAGGGCCCCTGATCCCAAATCTGGATCCTCCGGTGGGTCTGCGACTTGGAGCATGAAGCAGGCCAGGCCCCAGCCCCAAGGATGGCTGTACTTGCTGTTTCTCCCTACACCCTTCGCTCTACACCCTCTTCCTGGCCGGCTCCTGTCCCCATGACCCCTCTGCCCCTGCCCTCCTTGGCAAAAGGGGGCTCCGGGGTGGGGACTTTAAAAGGACTTCAGAAAGCTCATGGCAGAAGGCGCTGCCCAGGCCGGGCACTTCAGTGCCAACACCACCCATGAGGCTGGGACGTGGGCCTCAATTCCAAGCCTATCCAGATGTGGATGAGCCCTGCCAGGGCCTGTATCAGGAGGTCCGGCGACCCTTCCCCTCCCTCCCCCAGCCCCTGGTCTCCCGGCACTGAGCTTCGTCCTCCGCCACAGCCAGAAAACCCCCCATCAGGGTCCTCCAGTCACGAGGCACTCGGGTCAAGGGAGGCTGGGGGAAGAGAGTCCACCGCCTGACTCCTGATTCGAGGTTTTCAGTAGGGCCCCAGAGCTGTTCTGAATAAATTCTGCCCTAACAGCCGGCCAGCACACCAACCCTTTCCGTTCCCAAGGTCTGGGGTGAGGGGGGTGATTGCAGGCAGAGGGCACCCCTCCCTCCCTTCTTCCCCAAGCACAACCACACTCTACCTCAAACTCGGAGACGCACCCACAGCCCGGCTGCAAAAACCTCAGGGCAGCCCCTCCCCCCCGTACATGCCTCTCCCCATCTTCGCCGCCGGCCGGGAACTCGCTCCCGGTGGAGAAAGAGAAGCGCCCGGCGAGGGGTAAGGGTGGGAGCCTGCAGCCCGGGACCTGAGTCCACCGTCCCCCATCCATCCCCTCCCGGACTTCCCCTCCGCCAGTCCCGACGGCCCGGTGCTCCCAGCTCCTGCGCGACCACAGAACTCTCGGGGGGCCGCGCGGGAGTCAGCCCGCCGCCGCGCCGAGACCCGAGCTCAGGGCGCCGCCGCCTCCCGCGACGCTCCTCCTGTCCCGGCCGTGCCGCCCGCCGTCCGCAGTCCGCCGGGCCCGCGCCCCCTCCCTTGTTGTCCAGCGCAGCCGCCCTCTACCCCGGATCCAGAAGTCCCCTCCCCGCCGGCTCCCGGACTCCCCGCCTTAAAGGCACAAGCTCCTTTTGTCTGGGCACCCCCTCCCCCCCACCACCACCCCGGACGCCTGGCCGAGCGGCCCGACTCCCTTCGGAGGAACGGGGTAGGGGCGAGCGAGACCAAAGAAGAATGGAAACCCTCCCTCCGCACGCCCCCTCCTCTCCTCCGGCCGCTCCCTCCCCCAGTCTTGGGAAAACAGGCGGCTACTGTTCTGGGATCAAGACCCCGGGGAGGAGCCGGCCGGCCGGCCTTCTCCCCACTTCCCTCCACCCCCGGGCTGCCTCTTCTAGCATTCTCTTCCCACCCTCACTCCCGGGGTCCCCCCCACGCGCAGGGGAAACCCACTCTCTGGCAGCGATTACCCGACCCCTCTCCCGCCCTCGCCCCTCGCCCA